TAGTCATCGCTCTTGCACATCAGTTCTGAACCTCTTGCCTGACTGATTTCGCTTTCTAAAGCCCTTGATAATGGGGAAACTCCCTTATGCCATGCTCATGATTTCTATTCATTTTGTTACGAGCCTTCCTTATGGTTTGGCGCAGCCATGGCCATGGTGTGGTGCCATCCTTCTACCACGTAACACTGCCATTGATCTGCTTTGTGCCAGGAAACCCCACAGGTGGCACACAAAGCCTTGGGTCAGCCCCCAGAGCTGGGGCAGCACTTCCAGCTCCAGCTGCCTTGGGCCAAGGGGTCTCCTGGGCCACCCCAGCCCACGCCACAGCAGTGCAGTGACTTTTTGGGAGCAGTGCAATGACTTTCTGCAGCTTTCCCTGCACCATCCCAGATCTGGAAGCAGTGGGGAAGTGTCAGAGTGGGCAGCTGTGGCAACAAAGCATTGCCCAAGTATCTCAGACAAGGCAGGGAGAGGAAGGGCACTCTTGGAGGTACTTGCTCCAGCACCTCCATTTCTACATCCACCAGCTCCTGGGGAGGGTTTGTCAATTATGGGCACTTCACTGACACATTCAGTGGAGGAAATTTTGTTGCCACTGGAATCAAAAAGCAAAATCATCCCTGCCACAAGGCTGGCAGGGGCAAAATCATCCCAGGCTCACAACAGTGTCCCATAGGTCAAATAACCTTTCCAGAGGTTAAGCCCATCCTTGGAGAATAAACAGAGCTCCTGAGGTTTCATTCAGACATTCATGTCTCTTCTGCCTTGACCCTGTGCTGGGGAGGAAGCTCCRGAGAGCCACCAGYRGGCAYACAGGCTGGGCCAAACTCCCCACAGGAGAGCAGGCAGAGAGGAAATGTCTGGAACAGATGGAGCCCTACTCCATCAGGAAGGACCTGAGAACTGAATTTCACTAAATGAACAGAAACTTCCCCGCTGACAGGAGCATCTCTCTGCCTGCTCTCCTGTGGGGAGTTTGGCCCAGCCTGTGGTGGAGAGTGAATGCTGCTTCTGGGCCATTGCTTGGACCAGAGCCCAACTGCAGTTCCCCAGGGAGAGGGAAGCCACCTGTGGGTTGGGGTTTAAGTCTGGGCTTTGGGAAGAGTGGCCCCACTGCAAGGAAAGATGACCCCTGAGGACCATCCCGAGTGCTGGTTTCCTCCAGTCCCTCCATCCAGCTGAACCCCAYGGCCTGGGCAGAGCCTGGCTGGGAGCAGCACTAGACACAAGTCAAGGCGGCGAGAGAGGCCACCTGCAAGCAGCACCAGGGCCCTGCTCCCCAGAAGATCTGGATTGTTCTCCAGGAGGAAGACTCACCTCCCCAAAACCCAGGAAGCACGGGCAGGACTGAGCACAGGCACCTTGTCTGCTCTGAGCAGAGCGGGGTCGCTGGCAGCCSGAGTGCAGCAGCATGACTACACCTGGGCGCATTTCCACTTTCCAACAAGCCCAGCGTCTGCCAGCATTCCGAGATGGGCTTTTACCCAGCCGGAGCTGCCGAACACAATGAATGCTCTTTGTATCTGTCGAGTGCAGAGGGGAAGGAGGCCCCAGGATGCTGCCAGGGCTGGGAACGGTGTGTGTTCGCTCAGGAAGAGCGGGTCCTGTGCGTACTTGCACACCCGCGGAGCTACAAACAGAACCTTCATCTGCTGATGAAAGACTGGCCTGCCTGGAAGAGATGCAGGCTGGAAAGGAAACACATTTTTAGAGAAAGAAAGACAGGAGCAAATATTGCAGCAGAGTGAATTATTCCTTGTAAATAATGCTGGTTGCAGATCCAAGATCCCTTGTTCTGGTACTGAATCACAGGTGTGCCAATCCTCCTCTGGGTTGGGCAACGTTTCCCTTCTGTCAGCACCTCACAGCCATGTCACTGGGTGTCACTGGGGAGAAACAGCCCTGTGCCATCCCAGGAAGCCTCTGCAGTGGCAGTGACATGGCAATGACGGTCTGAGTGTCACCCAGGGTGGGGCTCATGGTGCCTCTCCTCCAGGGATGGTCCCTGGGCTCATGCCAGCCCTGGTGCAGGGGAGGGAGGTGGCACAGGCAGACAGACACCAGCCTTGAGTGACCTCTGCAGCTTCCTGCTCCCTGGGGAATCTTTCTGTTCAAGACAGTCACTGCAGGGTGACATTTTTAAAGGCATCATGCACCTTATGTGCAGAGATTTGGGTCTGTCAGTCGATTTAGCCTGGTAATGCCTCTGATTCCAGCCAGTGCAGTGCTCTGAGGGTTAATCAGATTTGTCTGATGCTTTGAAAATGTCCAGYGGGGTCCTACCTGCTCTTCACATTGCTGGTTCACTTTGTAAATCCACTCCTGCACCTTCCTGAGCTGCAGAGAAGGGATGTGTGTCATTAACAATCCTGTCCCTGGTCACCAAGGGGAGCAGTGAGAGCTCCCAGCCAGGCTCTGACGGAACCTGGCAGGTGCCATCAACAGACGATGACATCTACATCTCTTGCCATTTTGGCCAAAAGCAGCTGATGAGCAATTACAAGCAGAGAGCAAGGCTGTGAGCAGCCATGTGTTGGGCTGTTTATTCCTGAACAGATCCATTTGGGCTCAAGTAGAGAAGACTGAGGACAATCATCAAGCTGCTTGGAGCCAGATGAGAGTAGAGTGTGTCAGAGAGAGATCAGGGAGAGGTAGAGCTCTGCTGTGTAACAGATGTGAGTATATCTGTTGTGAGGGTGTGAGGAGGGGACACTGCTCCTGTCCCACTCCTGGGCCCTGGGACAGGCACAGCAGCTTCAGGTGTGCTGGGACTCTGCCACCACCCCGCAGGGTGGACCCTGGGCAGGCAGAGCTCATGGTCTCACCATGTGCTCCTTCCCTGCTGATTGCCAGCACTGCCAACCATTAGAGCAGGATTCATTTGCTCAAATCCCTGCACATGGTACCAGCATCCAGATCCCTGGACAACTGGAGGAGGGAAAACTGCCCTCGGTGTCAGGGGACAAACCCTGCCAGACCAGGACCTGCCACAGCCCCTGGGCTTCTCAGGGAATGCAACAACAAGGGCTGGTGTGGCCCTAGTCAGAGCTACACTAGACAAAATCCACYCATGACAACCTCATTCCATATTTTTCCTCAGGGTCTATGCCTTGTCTTGCAGCTCCCTGATAAGCATTCCCTAAGACATAAATCACACAAGCTGGAAGTCCTGGAAGGACTGATTTGGAGACTTTCTCTGGGTTGATTTCCCATGTAAACACCTTCAGGGCGAAGCCGAGGTGGTGCCACAGAGTCGTTCCCAAGCGGGTACTGGCAATGAGAGAAGATATAAGAGACAAGGGGGCCAAGAGAGATCATTACCTAATGACCATGCCTGGGCCCAGAGGAGGAGAATTACAGGGTAATTGGGCAGCAGCTCATGGCTGTGTAAATACTCAGTTATTTCTGTTCCATAAACCACAATCCAGGTTACATGGTAATTACTTTGAGGTTCATTAAGTGTAATTATACAGTAATCTCCAGGAGCCAGTAATCACGTTCCAAAGTATCTACCACTTAAAGCTTGGTGAATGTCATGCAGGTAGGAAGCAGTGGCATGGCTCTCAGACTTGAGTGAGGTGGGAAGTGGGATGGCCAGGACAGGGTCAGATGTCTGAATTGTGACAAACAAAGCTAAAATCACCTTCCAAGGAGAACGCTGGGCATGCTTGAGGGAAGGGCTGCACACCCAGAGCCCAGACAGGCTCCATGGGCACCCTCCAGCCAGCAGCAGGATCGCTGCCCTGAGGGAGCTGCTCCTCCCAGGCTCACAGCAGTGCCTCATAGGTTGAATAAATCCTTTTCTAGAGGTTAAACCCATCCTTGAAGAGCAAGCACAGCTCCTGAGCTTTCATTCAGAGTCAAATGTCTCTTCGGGTTGCCCAATCAGGGCAGGTAAATTCTACRCTTGTCATTATAACCAATATACCATATTTTATTTATTTTACTGATGCCTTAAACAGGGCTTACCTGAAACGGAGGCCAGACAAAGTTAAGAGAGTAAAAACAGACAAATTTAACAAAGGCCTACAGGTACATTCAGGGCAGACAAAGCCTCCTCATAAGGCTACRCCCAAAATGGACCCCAAGTCAGAAAATCTTCCCCTTTTATAAGTTCTGTCTAATTAACAAATTGGGTCCCAGTTCTCCAATTAAACCTTCAGGTGATGATGTCAACCACCCCAAGCTTGCTCTCCCCAGTTCCACTGTTGTTTCCATATTTTGGGGCTCTGAGACAGTGAGGTGTTCTGGAGTTTCAGGCCCAAAGAGGACTTGTTTTGTCTAAAAATGGGAGAACAGGAGCTTTAGCGCTGTATTAGAGAATTACAAGAATACAGACACATGAAAAATATAGAAGGTAAAAATCCTAAGGCATCATACTACGCAGCAAATTAGACTCAATGCTCAACAGTGTCAGCACCTCTTGCACATCACTTCCAGCTTTGGCTCATACATTCCAGGGTGGGGTTGACCCCACCCATCAGAAGAAGACCTAAATCTTCCCACAGACTCCTCACTGGTCCCAGTCCAGCGTGTCACCCCCAGGACAAACACTGAGGGAATGGTCCCCTGATCCCCTCTGCACCACTGAGTTGGGGGGCCCTTGATGAGACACACACACTGAAGCTGCTCGTGTTCCTTGTCCTTCAAAGAATCCCCTTTTGACCTGGAAAGACAAGAAAAATTACTGAGAGCCAAAGCCCCAGTGATGAGCTCCTGGGAGAAGGGGGAGCAGCAGCAGTGCCCAGTGCTGGGCACAGGGCACTTGGGGGCAGGGTCCCATGGCTTGGACTGTCTCTGACCTGGCACTGCTCCCAGGAGGGAATATTTCTGCTGCAGGAATGTGTGAGACTGTGTTTCCAGACAGGGGCTGGATCAGCATGGTAGGAAAAGCCTGTCTCCCATGTTAACGACCAAGTTTCCGTGGCTTCAAAGCACAGATGCACGGTTGAGTTCCTACAGTAACGTTAATAATGTTTTTTCCCTTCTCTGTCTTTCAGGGATCTGAACTACAACGAGCTGCTGGAATTCCCCGGGGCTATCAGGACGCTGGGCCGACTGCAGGAGCTGTGAGATTTTCCTTTTATTCCTTTTCAAACCTTTTCCATTTATTCCTTTTCAAAACCTTTTCCATTTATTCCTTTTCAAAACCGTTCCCCAATGGGGTGACCAATAAAACATCGCATGTGCTCTGACTTGAGCAGAGCACTCAGTCCAAGCCTTTCTTTTCCTTCCCAGCCCTCTCCACTGCATCAAAGYAATTTAACCCCTCAATTTCCACCAGCTCTGATCACCTCCCCATCAGCCTCCATACCATGGCAGGTTCCTCCTGCAGTTTTTCACTCTCCTGTGGCATCCAAGGGACTCAAACTCATCTCCTGGCTGAACATTTCCTGAATGGACTCCTGATGTCCATTCCCCAGCCTGGGACCACAACCTGGAGTTATCCATGTTATTGTGAGGCCATCATTTCTGCAGGCCCTGTGCTACCTCCTCTAATGTGCRGAAAGTGTTTTATCTCCCTTAGGATAAATTTATTAGGGAATCACCAAAGTTTATAACCATTTGAGTGGATAGCTCTCCTTCCTCTAACCGGTCAGCCTGGGAGACTCTAAAATGAGAAACCATCCAACTTATCGCCCACAAAGGTAGAAGCCCCAGGGTGGGGTGTGTTGATGTGGATCCACAGTTCCTGTGTCACACAAGCAGCTGCTCTTGTGCTTCTGGGAGCCTTGGAGTAAAATCTGACATTACTTTTTTTCTTAATTGGAAGAACTCTCATGAGACTTTTCTGTTCAGCCCAGACACCATCACTAATCTTACCTTCAAAACGAGAATAAGATTCTTAATTCCCTTTGAGATGGCTTTTGAAATGCCTGTCACTAAAGAAGAGGCAAATTCCAGCTAACCATCTGCCCAGACTCCTCTGAGATTAAGAACCTGGGCATCACCCCAAGCCAGGTCTTACTCCTGGACACAGGAACCTGCGGCTGCCCCTGCTGTACAGGAGGTCAGGCTGTTGCCACAGAGCTTTCCTCTGCTCCAGAAGTTTGCTGATAGAAATTTTCTCAAGAGTAACCAAAATTATCTCAGCTTTCGCTACAAATCTTCTAAAGTCACGTGGGCTGATAATTCCTGGTGCGCTCTGGTTGGCAGCTGTGGAGCTGTAATGGAGACCATCCATAAAAATTGCTGTTCCTGGAGGGTAGAAAATTTTGTATTTGACTTGTTCTTGCCTCCTGACCTGTAAAGTGTTAAACCTGAAGTCCTTGTGTGCTCGGTGGGGCTGGTGGAGTCACATTTGGAACACCCAGCTCCACACAGAGTAGTGAATGGAGCAGATGTTGTCCTGCCAAACCACAGACCTTGTTCACCTGCAGCTGGGAAGGAGCCTACATCTCCTATTTGTTGTGTATTTTGAAGGCTCTCTGACTTTAAAAGTCTTGAGGAAAGAGGGTTAATTTAATTAATATCAATATTTGTTTCTCCCAACAGCGGTTTTCATAACAACAACATCAAAGCTATTCCAGAGAACGCATTTGTTGGGAATCCCCTCCTCCAAACAATGTAAGAAAATTAAATAATGTTTCCTACATCTTTGCATGGCCCAGAAAGGGGCATTTCCTGATGTCTTTGGTTGGGTTTTCTGACAGTGGCCAGCATGACAACAACCTGATATTTGCTCTCCATGTGCCAGGCAGGCTGAAATTGCTCCTTCTCAGCTACACCCCAGTTTTTGCTGTGGGTTCTTCTTTCCCAGCAGCTGAGCTTTGCTGCAGCACAGCCTGAGAGCAAGAAAGGACTAAAATACAGGTGGTCTGAATGGAAACCTTCTGAGTCCTGGCTGACATCTGCTGAGCTTCATTCCTTGTGTTTAGAAACGCTGCTGGCCCGCAACAGCAGCAGCTGCGTGTGTTAGGGAGCTGGGGTACCAGACCCTTGTGTGCCTGCCCAGAACTGTGACACCAAGCTCTGCAGATAAACACACCCAGCTGGGTTTCCAGACCCTTGTGTGCCCGTCCTGAGCTGTGACACCAAGCTCTGCAGATAAACACACCCAGCCATCAGCTCATTTCTCCTCTGACCCAGGCACAGACAGAGCTTTTGGCTATTTCTCTGAACCACACAGACATTGAAAATCATTACAAGTGACAAAAGCTCTGCTTGTCCAAACTGGAATTAAATTAAGTGAAGTAGCAGTATCTGGCAAGCCATGGTGACATTGGGTGAAACCATTGGCTGCTCCAGCCCAAACAGCCAGTCCCATCCCCATGTCCCWTGGGCAGCACTCACAGAGTGACGAGGGGAGCCCACACACCCAGAATGTTCATTTCTCCCTTGGATTTAAAGTCWTTCACAGTTAGTGGCAGGGGAGTGCTTCCTGCAGGAGGTAGTTCAGCTCCTCCCAGAGCTCGCTTGGTCATGGAAGGGCTCACTTCTGGCTGGGACTCTCACTTCTGAGACCTTCTGTCTCCACTGGCTGGGACACACGGGGAAGGTGCTGGTGGTGCGGTGGGTGTGGGAGGTCAGGGGAGGTGTCCTCCAGCACAAGGGGTTTCACAGTAGGGTTGAAGGAGGGCTTCACACCTTTCCAGCAGGACCSCAAAGGGGCCATTCAGAGCAGCAGGAGACCTCACTTGTACCAGTGTCCAGCCAGAAGAGGCAGGCAGGAGAGCCTGTGGTTATCTGGGAACAAGAATTCCTCACAGCGCCTCCTGCATGGCTCACTGCTGCTGGCTCTGGGGCTCTTCACCGGTAACAGCACCTCCTCCTCATGTGCAGCACTCTCTGACCAGTTCCTCTTTCCCATTGCAGCCATTTTTATGACAATCCCATCCAGTTTGTTGGACAGTCTGCCTTCCAGTACTTGCCAAAGCTCCATACGCTGTAAGTTCACCAAGCAYGCCCTCAGAGAGGGCCAAGCCCTGCATACTGAGCACCTTTGTGGCCTCCTCCCTCCCTTTTTCAAGAACCCCTGTGTCAGCAGAGGACCACGAAGCCTTTTTTTTTTTTTTTGCCAGCCCCAAAGGCTACTCAAAGGAGTAGGTACTGCAGATGTTCTCTTCTGAGGAAAGATCATTTTGAAAAGGGCATTTTGGATGTAGCCATTGATTCCTCTTGCCCACTCGTGACAGCAATTGAGGCCTTCCAGGGTCTCCATAGCTGCACCAGGACCAGCAAAGACCTCACACACTTTGTGAGCTTTCGAAGCTTTGTTGTRTAGTTGTCCAAACAGAAGGACTCTGGAAGCATCTGCCTTCCTCCACAGATGGAGAAGTGGAGGAACCCACGTCCCAGCCCCACATGGCACAAATCCTGTCACTGGGCAGCCAGTGGCCCTAGGCCACTCCAGGGTCACCAGCACAGGCTGGGCRCCACCTGCACCACAACAGCTGCTCCACACTGCCTTTCAGCCAACCTGCTGTGGCACAGCRCTAAAAACACTGAGGCAACCTCAAAAATCTCTATTTATAAGCCTCACCCAGGCACATAAAATAAATCATCCCAATAGCCCTGCATTCTTTAGATCCAAACGCACAGACCCGGGGAGGCTTGGGTGGGATGCCCTGCTTGCATTCCCCATGGTAATTGTTTGGGGTTTTTTTGTATTTAATTTGGGTAGAGATCCTGCCAAGAATGTCGGTGGCTGGGAGAGGCTTTGAGCTTGCCAAGTCTCCTTGCACAGCAGTGCCCAGCTCTATCTCCCGTGTCCTCATTGCACGAGGTGACTGCTCCAGCCACGGGGACACACTGGATCTGTGCCTCAGGCCACCACGTCAGGGTGGCAGGAGCAGATATGCCACCGTGGCTGATGGGTCGGGAATCCTGGGCAGCCTCCAGATCCTCTGCCCATCTCACCTCACCCTCATTTCCCTGCAGGTCACTCAATGGAGCAACGGACATCAGGGAATTCCCGGACCTTAAAGGCACCACCAGCCTAGAAGTTTTGTGAGTGGCACCTCTGTCCCTTTTACCCTGCTAGCTGTGCTCTTCCTCCTCCAAGGCGCTCCAGGCTGTTTCAGTGAGGACAACTTTCCCAGTGCTGTGCAGTATTCAGCCCTGCCTCTCCTCACCCTTCTGCTTCGTTTCACCCCTGTGGCTCCTGAGCGCAGCTTTCCTCCCCGTGAGTGGCTCTCTTGGTACTCTTCAGTGTGCTCCAATCTCCTTTTTTTGTTTATTCCTGCCTTCCCTCCTGCATCTGAGAAGGGGCAAGCCTGAGTGCAGAGTTTCTGCTGAGCCCCAGTGTCTCTGCCCATGCTGGACCCAGCACCAGGTTCAGGAAACCTCGGCCACCCTGGCTGGGGCTCCTGCCACCGCTGTGGTCCCCTCCTGTCATGGTGTGGACACTGGCCAAATGCCAGGCACCCACAGCATCTCCTCACCCTACCACAGCTGGGCAGAGAAGAGGGGAAAAATATTAACACAACAATTCATGAGTTGAAGTAAGGGTTCCTCCTYCTTSTCTGGCTAAAAACATCTGCATGCTGCCTTTGTTTTTATTTTTTTCTTAAAAATGTCATCACAGAGGTGTAACCAASCTCTCTAACTGGCCCAGCCTTGGCMAGTGRCATGTCCATCATCCTCAGAGCCACCAGAGATTGGCTCTGCTGGACATGGTGGAAGCCTCCAGAAGCTTCTCACAGGAGCCATCATTGTGGCCTCCCCAGTACCAAAAACTGGACCTAGAAAAAAACAGCACATCTCCTCAGCCCACCCTGAAGAGCAGGGCCTTAGAGGCCACACTGCCCCTGGCCACACACAGCTCTCCTCTGTGGGACACTACTCCCCATGCTGGGCCCAAAGCGGGAGCACCCCAGGGCAGGTGTGACCTGACTGTGCCTTGTCCTGGGAACACGGGGACACCCAATCCACCCCCACACACAGCACTGCCACCTGCCCCCAGCATGGCCAAGGACACAGGGATGGCAGAGCATGTGACAGAGGGCACTGCCACCTG